ACACTGAGAGTACTACCAGATGAATCCCCAATTTCTCGTTTGCGTATACTTTTCGCTGAGAACTACATCTCAAATTTCATCGAACTTCAGTTTATCGGTTTTTGGGAAATGTTGATAGCAGCAACAACGTTATCCCAAGACTTGAGTAAAGATGATATCAAAATCAGTGATTTAATTTCATCTTTGAAATTAATTTCCACTGAACTCAATTGACTTACAATCATATCATTTATATGATTAGTAACAGATCCACCTTCAGAAATTTGTGAATTGAACAATCTCCGCATCAAATACACCTTGCTCATAGCTGACGGTTTTTCGTACATATTCGATAGCACCTTCAATAGATCTGACATTATTTTCTCCTTTATGATATTGAATGCCACGTTTTTTGACAACATCAATCGGATCAACCCTAAGACTTGCTGATCTTTTTGCTTTCATTGCTCCGTGGTCATGGTATCCGGCTTAACCCATGACATGAGTTCGTGAAAATCTTTATGGTACAGAGAATCTTGAATCTTCATCTTCTAGAAATTGAAACCGGATCCATCAATCTTCTCAATTTCAATCTTTGAGCTTTTCATCTTCACAAATCATGATGCATCTCGCCTAACTCTGATACCAGTTGTTAAGATCATACAACAACACAGGCTCAATCTAAATGAACATAAAAAACAGGGGAGAGAAAATGAAATGAACAATATTGGCTAGAGATTTATATTGATAACTACAAGTATGTACAATAAAAGAGAGAAGGTAAAAAGTACATTTTTAAACCCTTGACTAAGGGGCATGTATATGGTTCAGTTTACTGTATATAACTTCTATTGACTAAAGGGTACATATAACTTTACAAAATATAATCATTAACTATATATAAAGTATCTACCACACATAGCTTTACTAGATAACCAATCTGCTCTACATAACTATTACTATACATAACTCTACTAGCCTTTTTCTGTACATCATTTACTTACCATATATAACTATACTATATATATTTATTAAGCAAATTATAAATAAGCAACAAGCTCCATGAACAAGGTTGGTATTCAATGTTGCTGAAATAATTATGTAATTTTTTGAAAGTATTGAGTCATAGATATTTAGTGATAGAAATAAATGTAGGAATATAATGTATCTTATGTGGATATTGTTATACATGAACAAATTTCTATGTTGGGTCATGTGAATGAAGTGACATTTTCTTGTATGTGGGACCTTATGAAATTTTGAACTTGTTCCTTGTTTTCTATATAAGTTGATTGCATGGAAGTGATGCATGCCCAAGAGGTTTGTGTATCATAGTGATGCATATCTATGCATGAAAGTGATATATACCAAGTGAAGCCTAGATGCTCACCTAGTAGGTTTGTTATAGACATCTTGAAGAAAAGAGAAGAATTGAAAACTAAAGGCTAAGTTTTTTTGTTTCACCATACTATACCCTAAATTTAGTCGTGCCAATAGTTGATAAATCCTCAAATGTCGAACAAAAGACTCCAAAAGAAAAGAAGTCAACCCTTCTCAAAGGCATAGTAAAAAATGACTAAAACTCCAAAGGAGTCGAGTCTCGATTAAGGGGAGACGTAATTTGTTCGAGGGAAGATGTTGGATGATGAAAGTCCCACATCGGCTAATTTAAGGAATGTTCATGGCTTTATAATAAAAGAATACTCTCTCCATTGATATGAGATCTTTTGGGGAAGCCCAAAACAAAGTTACGAGAGCTTAGACTCAAAATGGACAATATCATACCATTGTGGAGAGTCATGTTATTCCAACTCATGAATGCGCATGTGTTTGATTTTTAAATTTTTTTTTTTTAATTTTTTGCTAAGAAAATGGAATAAAACCTATTAAACACAATCTAACAATCAACTACTAAACATGTAACTAGACTATTTTGTAATTGGACGAAAATACTTTACGAATTTCACTTCTACACATTCAATTTATGGCTAAAAATCGAGATTACAATATGAATAAATCCATAAACTTTGGATAATATGAACCTAATTCAATGATTAAGACATTTATTTTCTTAACATTTATCAAATCAGTATTTTATTAACCATAATAATAACACAACGAATAAGTATAAAAGATATAAAGATGACGATAGTATAGATGTATAAATGAATCAACCGAACCAAGAGATTACCCTTTTTCTTAATATTGATTTATAATCATCACCTTCTTCCACACTTCTATCCATCTGCACAAATCACACACTAATTATCATTTAATAACACATAATGAAATTCATTAAATGTTATATATACAATTATTCAATCTTTAAGTTTTTTTTATTAAATGTTATATTAAAGTTGATAAATAAAATATTATATTTTGTTTTCTTTTTCACTCCGGAGAGAATTTTGTAATTGTTAATATTTAAATCAAATTTATATTTGTTAAATAAATAAATTTATAAAATATTTCATCTTTATCTTTATATTTCAATGATTTTTTTTTTAAAGGTTTTAGTTGTGGGTTAATTGACTAATAAAAATATATGCACTTTTAAAAGGAAAAAGATAAAAATAAATTTTATAAAGATATAGTAAAAAATATTATTCAAATTACCACGGTGAAGAACTATCTAGATTCATTTATGCAGTAATGGAGTAATGGATTCCCGTTACTTAAGGGAACTTTATTTACCCTCTAATGATTATCGATTAAAATCTAGATTTATAATATTTTATTTATGTATTTTTAGTTATAAATGTTTTTATTTACAATTCACTAATTATAATTATGATCTTAAAGTACGAATGTTACTACTCTTAAGATATCTTAGGACGGTCCATATCCTAAAGACGATATAAAGCTTGTAAATGAGCATTTGTACTTTTCCTTTAGCTTAAAGCTATGTTTTTTTTTTTTTTTGTTCTATATAATTTAAGTTGAATGCTTATATCGATCAATCTTGTTTGTGAAGTGATTCAAAGATCTTACTTTCTCTTGGATTCTGGGATACTTGAGATATAAACATCTACATCTTATTCTTCAATAACGTTGTTAAATTAAATTTCCTAGGGTTTCATAACTTAGTTACCTTCAATAACGTTAATAATTATATCACTTTAAACCCTAAATTTTCATAAGTAGGGGACTTCTTGAAGTACAAGAAAGAGAGATGCTAGAATTAAATGGATAGTACAAAGCCTTAGTTAAGTTTAAGTATTTTGCATATGCTATTTAGAAAGAATTATACAATAACTTTGTTTTCTTTTTTTAGCTATCTTGGTTGGATTTTTGAAAAAAAAATAATTTTATTTAGTTAATTTGAACTAATTTTAAAGGTGTTCATATGAACGGATAATAGACTAATTCAAACCACCAAACTCAAATCATAAAACTTTTGTTAGTTTGTTCAGTTTGGGTTAGATCGAGTTTTAAGACAATAAAAAATTTAGGTTTTCAAGTTGACATTTTCTTTATCTAGTCAACCAGACCAACCCAAAAAATAGAGTTACAACCCAACTGTAAATATTTGATATTTGAATTTGATGAGATTTTAGTTATTAATGTAATATATAGCGCAGATAACTAGAATTTTTTTAAAATAACTAAAAAAACAACTCGACCACTCAACCCAATCCAAACTGTAAATAGAGGGTTGAATTGAGTGGTCGGGTTGTTTTTTTTTAAATTATTTTAAAGAATCATATTTATCCACAATACATATTACATTAATAATTAAAATCTCATAAAATTCAAATATTAAACATTTACGAGTCACAATGCATCAATGACATTGGTTACAAACCTTCAATATTCTTAATTTTAGGTTGTGAAATCTATTTGGGTTACTTGAGTCACCAACCCAACCAACCTAAAAGTTCGAGTTTGTTCAAAAGATTTTTCCAAACTCAACTCAATCCAACTCAACCCAACTCATGCACACCCTTAGTTGATTAGCTACAAATCACGATAAAAAAAAAAACTCTAATTACTTCACTTATACAAGTTTAAGGTTTAAATCGATACCAGTTTTAATTTATATGCCATAAATTGATATTTTCTCTTAAAAAAAAATAAAAATGTTCATAGATGAAAGAGATAAAAATTGAAGTAATTGAAAGAAATACCTGAAAATGCAAATGGGAGGTGAGGGTTGGATGATGATCAGACACAGAAAGTGCGGAAGCCCCAATGATCCGAAGGCCATCTTCTTCGGCCTTTTGAATCAAATTTGAGAAGTTAATCATATTGTTCCTTTGCTTTATGCATATTTGGATGATCACTTCTCCTTTGCAAACTTGATGCACCAAAACACTTAGATTATCATTTTCTAACCCTTCCTTTTCATCCACTAATACTCTTTCATTACTCTTTCCTTTCTCTTTTATCATTTTTTGCTTCTTTTCCTTCATATTTTCTATCTCTTTTTGTAGTGTGGGAATGTAATCTACAACTTTGTTGATTATGGTCGTCGAGCTCCACCTCTTCTGCATCAAGCCTCAAATATTAGGGTTACGTCTATAGATTCCTAAACTTTGACAATTTTGTTGAATAGGACTCTAACGATACTTATGAGACATTTTTTTAAGGTTAGACCTTTGTTAGGGAGAAGAAAGAAAGATTTTGGCATCGAGGGGAAAAGCATTTGCTTTCTATCTATCTTTATTGGTCTTTTCACTCCTATGCAGATTTCTTATTGCATAGCAGAGTTAGTCGAGATTCATAGAACAAAAGGAGTAAAAGCATTTGGAAATGTCCAAACCACTTGGGCTACAGGTCGATCCTATTGCATGTTTTCAACATAAAATGTTGTAATGACCCATGTCCAAGATTCGTATTAGGATTCGGAATCCAGCTTGCAACATGGTCAAGTTACTTACTCTTTGATTCTAGAAGTAAAGATTATCCTCCTACACCAGCATATATCATTTTAGCATATTTTGTCATCACTCACATACTTACTAGAAAAACTCTTAAAACGTCACAAAATATAGAATTGCTCACTTTGCTCTAGAGTTCTTTGTTGAGGATTGCTGGGGGAGGAGTCCCTCGTCGACTAATTAAGGGATTGATCATAGGTTTATAAGTAAAGGAATACATCTCTATGAGACCTTTTTAGAAAACTAAAAGTAAAGTCACGAGAGTTTATGCTACAATAACCATTTTTAGACTAAGTTACCGAAAAAGAAGGTACACCTTAGATAGTATCTTTCCATTCTTTTAAACTTTTCTTAGCAATCTTCGCTCTCATTCAAATGTCACTTTGATTCATTCATGTACCTCTCCTTTACTCGAATATCACAAATATCCACAAACTTAAACGGGTTTGGATGGAACGTGTAATTTAACCTAAAAAACGAGAAGTAATACATACGGACCTTGGATCGTCGAGCATTAGGAAGCAAGGATCGAAGGGAAAAGTACAACTGAGAAAGCTCCATCCTCCTTTGTCTTTCTCTAGCATTATGTTCTTCTTTCTTAGCATTAGAGGGTTCAATATTGGCATTCATGGCTGGTGGAAATGCCTCATTTTCTCTCCCAAAACCTCCATAAATGTCTTCCTCCAAACCCAATAATGCTGCAACTTCTGCCATAGACCCACCTTTCTCACCACACAATGCTTCGCCACCTTTTGGCAATTGGGTTTCTTCTTCCCCATTGTTTTCATCGGTCAATGTATAATAACTCTCCCATGGTGTCACCGCCATACTTTAAGGACAAAAACTCCCCTTTTATCTTCGTTTCCAGCAAATCCATTCGAAAACACATTGAATTAGCCCATATCTTATGAAATTATCCTAATTTTAACTATAATCGCCTTATCCAAGAACATTCCAAAGTGTTTGACCTTTTTCCATAAAAGAAAACAACAACAATATGTTCTAAACAAAAAAGGGATAGAAACAAAGCAAAAGCAAAAGAAATTTAATTGGTTTAATGATTTGAGGGTACCTTTGATCTCTTATCTGAGTTGGCTGCGAAGGAGGAAGGAGATAAACAAACTGGAAATCTGATTCGTTTTCATGGAGAAAAGAAAGAGATGGTAATTAGGTCATTTTCTCTTCTTATACATCCCAACACAAAACCCCACCAATAAATATATATATATATATATATATATATATCTATAAAGTCAATTCTCAACTCAAAAATGTTTTTGTTTTTTGAAGATAAACTCAAAAAATTGATTTCTACAAATATTAAGGACCCACTCAATAAATAAAATAATATGTCAGATGGTAATTATTTATTATTTTTTTTCAGTTGTTTTAATTTTAATATTTTTTATCTTGTAATTCATGTGACAAATAGATTAGGTAGGATGTTACTCACATTTTAAGCGAAATTTCAATTTGATCTTATTGACATTCGAGTAAAGGAGGAGTACATGAATGAATTGAGATTACATTCAAATGAGAGCAATACAACAAATGTCGTTAATGTTACGCTGACCACCAGGCCGTGAGGCATGTTTTTTTTATTTACATTCTCTTATCTTGGAAAGAGTTGCTAAATGATTGGGCCAAACCGGTGCATGTAGCTTGACCGTCTTACCTGTCATTGAAATACAAGTTGTGTGTGATCCCTGTTTAGAAACTTCTTTTATTGTGGAATTAGACCCGCTATTAGCGTCAGTTGCATCGGATTTGTTGCTCAATTGAAAGCTTAAAATTGGAAATGACACACTATCGCAAGAATATGATGATTAAGAAAAACTTAAAAAAAAATCAAAGTTACTACATATACAAACAAAATGTATTTCCTTTTTGGTGGCTCGATCATAAGTACTCTAAAATTAAGCGTGTTTTGCTTGAAATCATTTTGGGTTAGACGACCTCTTAAAAATTTTCTTAAGATGCATGTGAATGATAACAAAATAACATAAAAGAACTCGTGTTAATCTGTGAGAATAATCTTCACTCTTATAAGAATAAGGCCACGCACACGAGAATGTCGTGGCCATTATTTCTTAATCTTAAACATGAAACTTTACATATTTACTATTTAATCCTTCTCGTTTGATATTTAGTTAATACCAAACCATATTTAATCTATAAATAACTCATCGAACAAAATTTATGAAGGTAGGAAGATCAAAATGTTTTTTTTAACCAAAATAATGTTTTTTTTTTTCCTTCCTTCTTTTAATGCAATAGTTTATTTATATAATAAAGTTTTGGGGAAAATAATGTCGGGTTAGGGGATCTAATGATGTGTACTACGAGTGCCAACTTTGTAGTACAAAAGTTGATGAACCCATAAGTGCAGTACAACCTCGTTTCCTCCATTTCTCTTTCCACGTTCTTTGGAATCTTGACCTCAAGAACTTCTGGTTTTCGATGCCTATAACCTTCTTCCAACTCTTATCTTCCTAATGTTTTTCCATTTTAAAAACTCATACGCTTTTCAATCCAATTATTTAGTCGAACATTTTGTTTAATCCCATTATCAAGTCGTTTGGTTGAAAATTTTGTTACTAGTGGTGGGCTTGAGGGGAAGCCTGCTCGAAAGGAAAATCCCAAAGACACTATCTGTTAGCGGTGGACTTGAAGGAAAGTCTTCTCGAAAGGGAAAGCCTAAAAAGTACAATATCTAATAATTTCAATCCGAAAGGAAAAGCCCAAGTCCATCCAATATCAGTCGGCAAAATGGAGGAACGAGGTTGTATTGCAGTTATGGGTTGCTCAGATACTTTATCCTATCAATGAAAATTTGGTTTTTGAATTCGAAAAATATCCTTACCGATAATTTTAGATGGAAACGAATAATGATTTGTTAAAAAAAATATTCTTAAACTTTTGAGAGGGAGTTAAAAAATATCATTACCATTAAATTTGGAAAGAAACTTTCATAGAATTTAGGGTATCTTAAATTATTAGAAGTGTTTCAAAATTATCTCGATTTTAAAAAATTTCATTAATACCTTTAAATTTTTTTAAAAACTTCAAAAATAGCTTTAAACTTTTCAAAAATATCATTAGTGTTAGAATATGGATAGAACCGTTAATACTACGTAAAAAAAAATCTATGAACTTTCAAAGGTAAAAAGTTTTTAATGCTAATCCCCTTGAACTTGAATAAGAGAATGATCTATGAGATGTAGATAGACGGTAATAACTTTTTGTAACTATTTTTTCTTTTTACGGAGGTTAAAGATGTTAATGCTACTTTTTAAAGTTCATGGATAGTTGTTACAACAACTATTTAAAAAACTCGAATCTCGCCAGAAATTTTGAGATTTACCGCGAGGCGCTGATTTTGCGAGGAAGAAACCACCCATGCCTTCTACTTAAGCCTTGTTCGTTCTCTCAAGTCATCCAACTCATTTTGCCTCTACTCTGCAAAGCATACACGTCGATAATCACAAATCCAAGGTGTGCGAGGTTGCGATCGACGACGCGTATTTGTTCTCTTCTTAATGAGCATGTGGTGTTAGGAGAGTCATCAAGCCTCAGGAGGTATGGTGCAAGCAGTCGAAAATTGAACGGTGGCTAGAGTTGTGCATGGATCCTCAGTGGAACACAATTGTGGTGAGGGTTTGTGGTTTTCTAAAATGGGCGAAGAAGATGAATTAGCGGGTTATTTGGCGACTTATTTGGCTCGGTATAGGGTATTTGGTACCATTGCCTATGTTCTCGACCTTTTCAATGCTGATTTTGATCTTGCCATAGGCATTTAAGATCAGTATAATCTCCAATGGCTCAATTTAAACTATTTTGAGCTAGAATTTGAAGTAAGTTAAGCTGATTAGAATATTTCTAATACATTGTCATGAGTCTACCTAGGGTGAAATAAACCTTGTAGGGATGAAATTAAGCTACTTTGAGGAATGATTTGGGACGGGCCTAGTTCAATCGTGTAAGTTGCTCTACTGTGGCATCATAATTAGGAATATTAAGCTATGCTACGTATGCTACGTGATGACATGTTATGTGTGTATGCGATGTCCTATTATGTCATGATATGTATGATATGAAATGTTATGTATGCTATGTCATGTCAGGCCATGTTAAGCCATGTTATAGATTATACTATATTAATGATGACGGATGATGACGCATGATGAAAGCCATGTTGAGTACTAAGCATACATGACTCATATGTCTACTATGACATGAATGAAAGGAATAACAAAATGATTCTTATTACATGCTATGATTTTAAGCCATGGGAACCTCATACATTTATATATGTCATGTGTATCAGGATACTTCCCCGTTATGTTATGTTTGTACGGACGCGTACCTTTAATATTTATGTTCACTATGATATCATGCCATACATTTCTCTCCGTGGTGTCTAGTGACACGTTTGGCCCGGCATGCAAGGCCCGGGGTATGTATACGAGCTTGCCTGGTGGGTTCATGTACGCATGCATGGGTGTGTGTGTTACGACATTCAAGCTTACTCAGACTGGAAATAGTTCAAGATCATGCTATGTTGTTTTAAAGGAAATGTCACATCATGAGTGTGTGTGTTTTCATTACTTGCACCCAATAGTGGGGCTACTAATTGAGTATTTCTTAAAATACTCAAGTAACGTGCAACTCTTATATTTCAAGTAAAGGCAACCACCTTTACACGGATGACAGTGATGCTGGAATGACCATGGAAGCCAAACTAACATAGGACAGTAAAATGAATTTTTCATTTAGTAGTTTTGTAGGTAGCTTTCATTTTCGTACGGAAAATTATGCTAATGTTTTTGTTTTGACATTGTTGTTTTTTTGTTCCTTATTTTTAAATTAAATGTATATCTCCATGACTTCGTTTGAAAGATTTTATTAAAATATTCGAATATGTTAGTAAAGGCATACTTTTTAAAAAATTTAAGGGTATTATTGAAACGGTGTGAAAGTTTGATAATATTTGTGTAACACCACCCCCCCCCCCCCCCCCCCCCCCCCCCCCCCCCCCCCCCCCCCCCCCCCCCCCCCCCCCCCCCCCCCCCCCCCCCCCCCCCCCCCCCCCCCCCC